CTTCCTGTAGTCAGCCGCTGGTCAGTTTCAGCAGTGGCTGAATCTGGACGCCAGTTCTGACTTACATACAGATTCAACTTAAGAACAAACCTACAGTCCCTATCTTGTACGTAACCCGGGGACTGCCTGTATATACAAGATTTGCAGTTTGGTTCAATGGCTCCCAGCACCCAGTCCACATGGACCAATTAGTACATAACATTCTAGTGCACCCCCTTCAACTTGGATTAACACACCATGTAGACAAGTCCCCTAGTGTATTCCTCACCCCAAAGGGAAATCTGGGTAGGTGAGCTGAGAACATGGCTATAGCCCCATCTCCCATTAGTGGTTTCTGGAATTAGGAAGCACATTTTGGAAAGCCATGCATTCTTCTCTTTTATATGAAAGTAGGATGGAGTGAAGGGGAACATACAGTTTCTGACTTTCCCTTTCCCTTTGTAGACCTCTCTCCCCTAACACCAAAAATTCCTGCAGTCAAAGGGCTGACCTGAAAAATAGAGTAGTAAAAAAAAAAAACCCTGTTCTACCCTAACGAATTATGACAGAGGTGCTCTCTCTTCCACTAATATAGAGGAACACTTACAGTACAGTCATTATAGATGCTGATGGCATTTTAGCTGCCCTCTGATATTTCTCTTTCTCCTGTCTGTAGACTTTTTGATTGCCTAGTGGGTGATGTTATATATAGTAAATTTGTGATCTAGTAAACAAGCACATTTGGAAGAACTCTGTTTAAAGCACTGCAGCTCTTGCCCTAACATAGCTTCATGTTTGTTATTTATCTTCAGAAAATGAAAAACACTGACTTTGATGACTGGAAGAACATCAGAGGGCCACGTCCATGGGAGGATTCCAGGTCTTTTCAAGAGCAGCAGCAACAGCAAGTTCTTCATTCCAAGCCATCTTGACTGTGTGTGCCTATTCTGGTGTCTTTGCACAATCACTGCTATGCCAGTGACTGGACTTCCTTACTTTCTCATCCTGTGTCCAGGGACAAACATGGGTAGGGAAGAACCAAGTTGACAGGTGGCTTTACTTTAGATCAGTCTGAGACAAAATGTTAAATAAAGATCTTTATTCAAGTGCATCTGCTTGCATATAAGCCCATAGATTGTGTATATTAATTCTTAATAAAGATCAGCTCATTCTTTCATTGAGGATGCAAGTGTTTTCTTTCAGTATTTTTAATCGCTGCTTGTCAAAATCTTTTGTGGACTTCAGTGGGAATTCAGCTTGTCAGTACCACAAGTTGTCATCCTCAAAAGAGAGCGAGTTCTGCAGCCTAGATTTGTGTGACCAGATGTATCTTGGTGCAGAGAGCTCATGTGTGATCTCAGGCATGGGGCTTTTAAACTTGGAAGATCTCTACAGGCTTAAGAGCTGTGAAGGAACTGCACACACATGTTTGGATAATAATGCTCTTGTATTTTATTTTCAGCACCTTGCCAATACACTAATCAGGTAATGGTTTTAATAACATTCATTTAACTGTGGTCAGAGTTCTGTAATCACTTTATTGATATGCTGTGGTGGGCAGTAACTTTCCCTGTGGAAAAGCTCAGTTTAACTAGCAAGAGCTCTTCCTCTGTAAGAACCTTGCTATTTTTTTTATATGAGCTAGCAAAGCAAAGCAATACAATCTGCTTAGCCCAATATGTGGAGTGCAAAATCTCCCAGTGCGCATACATATAGATTTAGGGAGATTGTTTACCTGTAATTGGCTTTCTTTATAATCATCTTTGTGTGAATCTGTGCCTTCATGCACTAATAAGTAGAAGCTGCTTAGCAAGTAGTTATGGTAAAGAATACTCTGCAAAGAATACCTATGTAGATCGGGATGGACAATAATTTTCAATGAGGGGTCACTCCAAGAATTTGGTAAGTGGTCAGGGCCCTCACTTTTCTACAATATTAATGGAGGAAGTCTGGAGTCTGAGACAGAGTTTGGGTACAGGAAGGAGCTCTGGATAGAAGATTAGGGTGCAAGTTTGGGAAGGAGTTTGGTTCAGGAGCGAGTTGTGACCATGGGGAAGGATGCAGGAGCCAGGTGCAGGGGTTTGAGTGTGGCAGAGGATTGGAATATGGGAGAGGGAGCCAGGTGCAAGTTCTGCCTGGAAGATGCCTACTGTAGGTGGCTCCTAGCCGGCAGCCTGGCAGGACCCTTGGCTTCTGTGGCCTCACATGCTGCTCCAAGTGGCTGGTTGCTGGGGCCAGCCTGTGTGTTTCTGCGCAGCACACTTCCCTTGATGGGAGGGGGGATATCTGTGCCCTGCCTCTGCCCCAGAACCATCCTCAGCTGCAAGGACAGTGCTTGCAGATGTGTGCAGCACACAGAAACTAGCTACTTCTCCCCCCGCCTCCCCTGCCCCCCAAGAGGCACCACCATGCAGAAACACACGCTGGCCCTGGCAGTCATCCTCTTTTAGTAGTGTGTGTGGCTGCAGCAGCAAGGGAGCCTGCCCCAATGTCCCTCTGGGCTGCAGCAGGCCAGATCCAAATGTTTGGCAGGCTGGATCTGGCCTGTGGGATGCTTCTAGGTGGTTTCTTTCAGACACAATGAATCTATAAGGTGTTGCAAAAGACATGTAAAACTTCTCTGCTGGGTAGTTAAACATGAATGTACCGAGCCTACATATAGAACATATCCTGTGTGTTGGGATGCTGATTTGTGGCCAAATCCCAGCTCTCTCCCATGCAAAGCCCCACAGGAAGGGCCAAGGGGAAACTGCACTCTGTTTTACTCTTCTCAAAGGCCTGTAACCAGTTTATCTTCTTCGAGTAGTTTCCCCGTGGGTGCTCCACTGTAGGTGTCGGGCTGGTCCCAGCACTGCAGAATGGAGATTTATTAGCAGTACTCCGCCGGACTGCGCATGCGCGTTCACTGCCTCGCGCTGTTCATGCTGTTTCTAAGAGTGTGGTCCGGCTCCCGCCAGTTCCTCCTAACCGTCCTCGGGTGCAGACAGAGCGAGCTCCCTCTCAGAAACCTGACAGGAACTGAAGAAATTGTGTAATTAGTTGTTGTTCTTAATTAGTTAGTTAGTTATAGTATCCTTCATAGTTCATTAGATAGTAGTTAGACTTCATTTAAAAAAAAAAACACGTAGAAGAAATGTAGCCCTGATGGACCTGTGTCATTTAAGTATGCCTGAGTCACCCAGGTTTAAAAAGTGTGCTTCTTGTCGGGAGCCTATGCTAGTCTCGGACTGTCACTCCCGATGCATTAGGTGCCTTGGTGAGGGGCATATTCCACAAAAATGCCCCCACTGCTCTAAAATCACGGCACGTGCAATACGCGATAGGGAGATGAGGCTAAAAATGCTGTTATTCAGTAAAGCATTACAACCCACTCAATCAGATTCCTTCCAGCCCGAAAAATCATCGGACTCTGACAAACGCCACGCCGCCTTACCAAAATCAGACCATCTAAGAAAAGGGCCCTCGCCATCTCGCTCATTACCACCACTGCGGGTGAGCACGGCCAGCAACCCAGGCACCACAGGCATCTCCATACGCCATCCCGACAAGCAAAAGACCGGCCGCAGTACCTCAGCACCGAGTCCGGCCCTATCTAGGGAATCGGCACTGGTAGCGCAGGCATCGAGAGTGGCGCTAACTTCGGCATGTGCGCCGGCACCAGCACCGACTGTGGCACCGGCACCAACGGTGGCACTGAGCACTCAAACGGTACCGCTGGTGCCATTGGCACCTGAAACGCTGGCTCTGGTGGAGAAGGCGTCGACACTGCATTACCCCTTCACTGTCTCCGGCACCATCGTCATCCTCGGCACCATCACTGGTAGCAGCACCAGCACCACAAAGTACCCAGGCTCTGATGCTGACAAAGGCAATGGAGAAGTCTCAGAGGCCTTTTACTCCCTCTCCGATCCCCGAACCGAGTTTTATTCAGGACTGCTTTCACCTTCATCCATTCACTCATATAAATCTGTAGACAGGTCGAGGCTTCGCTCTCCCCATCTACACCATTACCCATCAGCATGTACCTCCCTGACGTCTCACTATTATTACTGGAACTGACAAATACCGTCACCATCACCTCATCCAAGGGGAAAATCATGATCACCAAGATCTCCCATGCTTTTGTCCTACTCACAGTACCGCTACTCGCATGACGACAGATATTCGCCTAGATACTCTCCAAGGTACGCTTTTCATTACAGTCATGCTCAATATGACCGTCATCATTCTTATTTGAGGGACTTTTCTTGACAAAGATCGCCATGTTGCCATCGCTCAAGTATCAAACCCACAAAGAGCCATTCTCCCACACCTTCCGGCACCAAGCCCCCCACTCCAATGGGGGCTGTCCTGTTCTGGCCCCCCCCACAGTCGGAACCGGAAGAGTGTCAGTTACCTGATCAAAACCACGATCAACCATGGAGTTTCTCCCACAGACCCGTTGTCCTCTCCTGATGACACAGTATTCCCAGGAGATTCATCACCCATAGATGATACCCGTCAATTTCAGGAGCTAGTCAAATGAGTCACCGAAAGCCAGGAAGTACAATTCACAGGAGTCCAGCAGAAACAACATTGACTACTAAAAAACCTACAACCATCCCAAAAAGCAAAAATAGCTTTACCATTAGATGAGGCAGTTTTAGAGGTAGCAGACGATATCTAGCAAACGCCGGCATCCACCTCAGCAACCAACAAGAGGGCGGACAAGAAATACTTTGTTCCCTCTAAAGGAATGGATTTCTCGTTTACCCATCCACAACCGAACTCCTTAGTTGTGGATGCAGCACAACAGAGGGCTAAAGCCTCACAGCACAGAAACACTGCCTCAGACAGGGACAATAAGTGATTAGACCTGTTCGGCAGGAATGTATATTTTTCTGCCACGTTGACATTAAGAATGGCCAATTATGCCACTCTTCTCGCCAACCACAACTTTGATCATTATTCAAAGTTGGCACCCCTTCTTGAGCACCTGCCAGATACGAAAAGACAAATACTCAAAGTGGTAGTACAAGAGGGCTATACCATCTCATGAACAGCACTGCAAATTGCCCTCAATATCGCAGATACTGCTGTGTGGACCACTGCTACATCTGTGGTCATGCAGCGGACATCCTGGTTGCAGCTAGCTAGAACTACACACAAAGGTGGAAGATTAGCCCTTTGGCAGGCAGAGCCTATTCGCTGAAAAAACCAATCAGGTCCTACATTCTAGGAAAGATACCAGGACCACACTTAGGACATTAGGCATGTATACTCTGCCATACCGCCTTAAGCAATACATGCCCTACCATAGAAAGAGGCCTTTCCCATATGTCACACCACAATACAGGCAACAAGACCAACAGCGCTCTAAGCAATGCCCGCAGAGGCGACGGCCTCAAAGTAACAGGGTGCCCAACCAGCAAAACATCAGACAGCAGGTTTGATGCGGCCGTTGAGGGCCTGCAGACCTTTCCCATAGCCAAGCACCATCTCAACGACACACAACTTTTTCACCATTGTTTGAGGCCATTCAGACACAGATGGGCTGCTATTACCACTGACAGATGGGTACTAGATCTGATAGCGTACGAATACCCCATCCCCTTCACCTCTCTCCCTCCACCATCCCTTCCTTCCCCATCCCTCTTCAGGGACCCTTCTGACGATAACAGGAAGTCTCCCGTCTCCTCACTATTGGGGTGGTACAAAAAGTACTGGAGGAGTTCAGGGGCAGAGGGTTCTATTCCCATTACTTCCTAACTCACAAAAAATCAGCGGGATGGAGGTCAATCTTAGATCTACGACGCTTCAACCAGTATCTCCGCAAACAAAGGTTCAAGATGGTGACATTAGCTACTATTATTCCAGCTCTCGACAACAGGGATTGGTTTGCGTCCCTCAACTTGCAGGACGCCTACTTCCACGTGACAATCCACCCTGCGCACAGGCGTTTTCTACATTTTCCAGTGGGTCCCAAACATTTCCAATGCAAGGTGTTACTGTTCAGCCTTTCATCAGCACCCAGGGTCCTTTCAAAGACTCTCGCTGTCGTGGCAGCCCACCTTCGACCATCGGGAATAATCATATTTCCTTACCTCGATGACTGCCTAATCAAGGCACCTTCATTCGCCGACGTTCTGCAAGCCACCAGTATAACCAAGGCTATATTCCAGACACTCGGTCTCATAA